GCATTTTTAACTCCAGATGTCCTAAAGCTCAATTGTTGCTCTCTGGTTTTCATCCTTAGAGAAGCCATGGAGAACAGACTTGAGAAGTTTAGGAAATCATAATGGGAAGAAGAAAGTGAGCTTTTTTCCCTTGAGAAACTTACGCATTTAGTTTGTATCTTTCCAGGCAAACAAATGGGTATTCTTTTCATACAGCCATTTTCAAATGAACTTAGAAAAGGTCTTAACATTTAAGGTATTTTATGCACAGAATACACTTAGATTGATGGGAAGAACTCATAACGGGAGTTTGGTGAGAGAAAATGATGATGTACTAAACCCAGTAGAGAATTGTTGAAAATGTTAAAGGTCAGCATGTTCTAATTGGGAATCTAGATATAGCTTAGATTTGCCTATTGTCTTAGAGTATTTGCTATAACAAATGAAGTGCAATGACAATTATATATTCCTACTCGGTCATACTGGACTGGCTTCCGTTCTCTTAACATACTCAGTTAATGACTCAAGCCTCTGACTATTAACATACCTAGTTGCCATTTTTTAATTGCCATGAGCCAGATACTTCTTGGTATACAATTGACCATTTATTTTAATGGCTGCCTTTTTCATTTTCATCTTTTCTTGCTGCTACCCATCTATGTATGTAGTCAATTGGGGGAAAGGTAGCCACATTTTTTATGGGAAGACTTTGTGTTAAAGTGAACATTTTGAAGGTTTTTAACTGGTGAAACTACCTGGAATAAATGCCACCAGAGCCTGAGTGGAAATCGCCCTTTTGAAGGTGCCATTTACCTTATGAGCCAAAAGTTTTGTCCATTTAAAAGTTCATTTTGAGGGAATAACATGTAATATAATTTGAAATAAAGGTATAGAACCTTAAAAAGAAATATTATAACTGATTGTGTGAATGGGTGAATTTGTTAAATGAATAACTTTGATAAAGTTTTTCATGCACAGACCAAAAATGTATTCACTAGATTTCTACGTAGTGATCTGCTTTTACTTTGTAATTTGTAGTTCAAGTATCCAAAGTCTCAAAAGGCAATGATTTGTGTGATAATATGGCATGCCCAGAGCCCTACTCATCAATGAAAACCCCATATGTAATAATCGAAGTAACCTCTCCCGAAATCCTCCTCTCAGGCTTACTTTTAGCTTTTCCCTTTTTTTTTTTTTTTTTTTTTGCATTTTTAACTCCAGATGTCCTAAAGCTCAATTGTTTGCTCTCTGGTTTTCATCCTTAGAGAAGCCATGGAGAACAGACTTGAGAAGTTTAGGAAATCATAATGGGAAGAAGAAAGTTGAGCTTTTTTCCCTTGAGAAACTTATGCATTTAGTTTGTATCTTTCCAGGCAAAACAAATGGGTATTCTTTTCATACAGCCATTTTCAAATGAACCTTAGAAAAGTCTTAACATTTAAGGTATTTTATGCACAGAATACACTTAGATTGATGGGAAAGAACTCATAACGGAGTTTGAGTGAAGAAAATGACTGATGTACTAAACCCAGTAGAAATTGTTGAAAATGTTAAAGGTCAGCATGTTCTAATTGGGAATCTAGATATAGCTTAGATTTCCTATTGTCTTAGAGTATTTGCTATAACAAATGAAGTGCAATGACAATTATATATTCCTACTCGGTCATACTGGACTGGCTTCGTTCTCTTAACATACTCAGTAATGACTCAAGCCTCTGACTATTAACATACCCTAGTTGCCATTTTTTAATTGCCATGAGCCAGATACTTCTTGGTATACAATTGAACCATTTATTTTAATGGCTGCCTTTTCATTTTCATCTTTTCTTGCTGCTACCCATCTATGTATGTAGTCATTGGGGGGAAAATGTAGCCACATTTTTTATGGGAAGACTTTGTGTTAAAAGTGAACATTTTGAAGGTTTTTAACTGGTGAAACTAGCCTGGAATAATGCCACCAGAGACTGAGTGGAAATCGCCCCTTTTGAAGGTGCCATTCTTATGAGCCAAAAGTTTGTCATTTAAAAGTTCATTTTGAGGGAATAACATGTAATATAATTTGAAATAAAGGTATAGAACCTTAAAAAGAATATTATAACTGATTGTTGTGAATGGGGTGAATTTGTTAAATGAATAACTTTGATAAAGTTTTTCATGCACAGACAAAATGTATTCACTAGATTTCTACGTAGTGATCTGCTTTTACTTTGTAATTTGTAGTTCTCAAAAGACTTTTTTTTTAAAAAATAAAGTCCATACTTACACTTAGGCTTTATACATCAGTCCTTTTTTCTTTTTTTTTTTTTTTTTGTAAATTCCATGTTATTACCTAGTGGTATTGTATGTTGTGTGTTCAGATGTCTTTACTGTATCTGTATACCATTAAGTAATAATTAGACTCCCAAACTGTAAACCACCTACACGGAATTCTGATGTAGCTAAAACTACATTAATATTTCTACAGCCAATTCATTGCATGTTTCTGCCGTATAAAGTGCCATTTTATACTGTGTATAGTGAAAAAGTGTCATCTTCCAGAACTACATTATAATCTTTGATCATTTGTTTCTTCATAATGACAGAGTAGTGTTTCTTAGTACAATATAGTAAGTGGGTATCACTGTGACAGTAATAGTGTAAAGAAAGGGAATGCTTTATAAAAAGACTGCAGATTCTATTCCATATAAAAAGATTCTATTCTGAATCTTAAGTGGTAATTTTAGAATTCAGGTGCCAGTGCCAGCCTATGGCCTCAAATACGTAATTCTTAATATAGATGTTAAATTATACTTTTAATTATGATTGGATAAATGTTGGTTTTTCTAACAGTGTCAGTTTATAAAGATGTCCCCTCTTGGAAACTAAATGAGTTTTTAGAGCTGGTCATAAGTTTCTTAGCCTTACTCTGAGTTATAGATGTTATTTCATTATATATATAGATGTTTATTCCATTCTTATTTAACAAAAAAAAAAGCTTCCTTCCATATACCAAAAATGCTACAGGATATTTTGAAATAGCATAATGATTTTAGTTAGGGGAAATGCATGGGACCAAGAGGTTGGACTTCTAATTGTTTTTCGAAAGCTTTTTTCCATTATACCCCCAGCCTTTTTAGACTTTTTTTCTAATAGAGTCCCCCATAAATTTTAATACCATAGATATGCTGCATATGTAGCGTATCTCTGCTTTATACATGCAAAGAGTAAATTTTTTTTTTTTTTTTTTTTGAGACAGTCTCTGTTGCCCAGGCTGGAGTGCAGTGGCATGACGTCAGTTCACTGCAATCTCTGCCTCCCAGGTTCAAGCAATTTTCCTGCCTCAGCTTCCTGAGTAGCTGGGATTACAGGCGGCTACCACCACCCCTGGCTAATTTTTGTATTTTTAGTAGAGATGGGGTTTCACCATGTTCGTCAGGCTGGTCTCAAACTCCTGACGTCATGATCTGCCCGCCTTGGCCTCCCAAAGTGCTGGGATTACAAGCGTGAGCCACTGCGCCCAACCAAAAAATTTTTTTTAATCCTTCTTGATAGTGATTGACCCCCATTGAGAATGCATGCTCTAGTCTTTTTTAAAAGGGAAGAAGACCTAGTGATAGGCCTTTGCATTGGCAAGCATGTCTATACTGTGAAGTAGTAGTTTTTCTGTCAGGGTCAATAGAAAATAGATGAAATTCATTTTCAGCCAATCTTTCACCGGTTGTGCTTTGTACCTTAACCCACCACAGGCAACAGGCAAAGCATTTCCCACTGTCTTTCAAGGTCTTAACAGATTCTTACCTGATTGTAAATGTATCACTAAGTAGAATCATTTGGGTTCCTTTTATAAAAATCAGTGAAAATCCTCTAGATGAATGAATTAAAGTTGTAGGCATAACACTGATAAACGGTATTGAAATTTCACTGAGAAACCTCTGCTCTCATACTCAAGTAGGCTGCTTGCAGAAACTGACAACTCTTGGTTGGCTTTAAATGTAATGTAGATGACAGAGTTTTAGTGTACAGTGTTAATTTTAACTACCAAATTACCTTTGTACAAATATTCCTCAGATACTGTCTACAGGTGCCATGTAAAATAGGTTAATAGGTATTTGCAAATTCTGGTAAATTGCCTTGCTATGATTTTTCATGTTCAGTATTAGTCCCCTAGTATCAATATGAAGTTTTTCTATTCCCCAGCCTACTAAGGCCTAAAGGTTAAAATGCCAGGAATAAAAAGGTTTTCAATGGGCTTAATTTGATTTAAGTGGAGTCTGGATGATGTGATAAGTACTTTTGTCTTCAGAGTAATGAGTTTATAATTGGCTTTTGTCCAAGAACTTTAAGTGGATTAATATCTTAACAATCTTTGACACAATTATATGAAACTGGATCAGAAAGGCTTCCTGACTCCTTTCTCTTCACTTTTTTTCTCCCAACTTAACTATAGGCAATTAACAGTCATTTTAAATCTAGTTATTTTTATTTTTCAGTGTATTTATTATCCTTTTATCTTTATGCTAGGAGTATAGTCTCACTTCTTAATGAGTTGATGGGATGAAGATACTTTTAAATGTACTCAATCACTGTCATTTTAGTAACCCTGAATCAGAACCTCAGTTGTTAAAGGCTTAACTGCTTGTGGCGACTACTGTAGTGCCCTAGAGAGGACAGTGGTTAAAATCTGCAGAATCCCTTGCTTTGTCATCTTCATCCAGAAGGACTGATACCTTGTTAAACTGTGATATGATTAGAATGTTTGTGGTTGTGTAGTGCGTTTAGGGTGCTACAGCGTTAATCAAACATAATTGAGCTGTTCTGTTTCCAGTCAGTGTAACCATTTAAAAATACCTTGGCAAAACAAGCTAGGAGCTAGTTCATGCTAATATTCTTAAGGACAACAACAGTTTACAGCTTCTTTTTTTTTTTTTAATCTGAAATCCTGAAGGCTGTGCTTAAAAGTTAACTTAGAGATAAACCTGTTGGAAATAAGTGATTCATTTATAGACTGAAGCCTCTATGACTTCAAAAAGATACTCTGCAGTCTCTGGCATTTGAAGGACAAAATATTTTCTCTGTAAATACACCTCATTTCCATTCTAGTTAGGAGTAATGGCGCCCAGCACAGCACACACAATGGAGAAAACTGGATAGCTGGTAACTCACTTAGCTCTTGGCACTCTGAACAACCTCAAATACGGCCATCCAAGCCAGTAATTCTATTGCTGCATTATTTCTGTGTTTAACTGTGAAACTTGCTGCTTGTCTGTACCCTTGAAATTGAATAAAATTTCATGAGACTCCTTGTTAATGTAGAGAAAAGCAATGACTGTTGAGTTGGTTGTACACTAAGGCCTCAGTCCTTGACCTTCCCCATTTTGCTCAGTGTTTTAAATACGACGTAAAGGCCTGTTTCCAGATATTTTTCCTCCAGACTCAAAGTTTTACATTTGTAAGACTCACATATACTTCAAACTGTTTGTACATGTTCCAAAAATGCCAGTGTTTAATTCAAAAGAGATGAATGCAATCTACTCCAGAATGCTTCGAGTCCTGTCCACTGTAACTCCAAAGTAATCTCAAATGTCACCGCAATTCAGGCCACCAGCATCTCACCTAGTTACTAAGTGATTTTTGCATCCACTTTTGTGCATCTCATCTTTTAACAGCAAGAGTTGTCTTTGGATGTAGTTTACCAGTTTAAAATCTTTGTCTTTGCCTAGGTGGTCTTTCGTGAACTATTCAGCTTCATCTGCCTTTTCCTCTTCATCACTATGTGCTGTGTAGTTGGCAGAGCTTATCCCATCCAAACCTGCAGGTAATTGAACAAGCTGATTACTAACTGGATTAGTATCCAGGGAATAGTGAAGATAGGAAAAAGGAGATTATAAAGCCCATCAGTTAATCCCATTTGTGTTTTGTGTTTTGAGCTGGCCTTGCCCTGTCGCCCGGGCTGACATGATCACAGCCGAGTGCAGCCTCAAACTCCTGGGCTCAAGCAATCCTCGCATCTCAGTGGCTGGGACTGCAGGTGTCACGCTTAATACTGTTATTAAAAAGACAACTAGGAGGGACGTTTGCTTGTAGAATGAAAACTTAGTGAATTCCAAGTATTAGGAAGCAACTTTTCTTGGCAAGATTAGATGCAAGCTATTTGTGTCCTGTGGTTAGTATTGCTATGACTGATGTGACCAAGACAGAATGAGAAGCTGGCAGTCCCGAATGTGAAACATACACTGTCAGGCCCTCTGCTGAGCTTTAGGACTATGGCAATGAACAGCACTGGACCCCAAGATTCAAGCCTATAGGAGGAGACAGGAAATGAAGAGCAGACTGAATGCAGAACAAAAGGATGTGGGAGGGACTGGCAAATTGGAGAGTCCAATCTCAAGGATATAATCTGTAAATTATTAGGATACCATGAAAGACAAATTGTACTTGCTGATAAAATATGGTTTGCAAGCCCCTAATATCTGAACAAAACAGTGCATAGCTACAGTCTAATGGAAAAAGATCTGTCTCCATCTATTAGCTGTGTGACTGGGCAAATTATTTAGCGTCTGAATCTTGTTTCATAAACCTGTAAAATGAGAACAGCAATCCAATTTTGATTAAATGATATCATTGCTGGGCACAGTGGCACACGCCTGTAATTTCAGCTACTGGGGAGGCTGAGATAAAGGATTGCTTGAGTCCAGGAGTTTGAGGATATAGTGAGCTATGATCATATGTGATAATAGCCACTGCCCTCCAGCCTGGGCAACATAGCAAAAAAAAAAAAAAAAATCGTATCATTTTACCCAGTGATAAAATGACAGTCTCAACTACATGGGGCAGTTGAGAAGTTCTACTTAAAGGTGCTTAACCTGGCACATATTCGCTCAGTGAATGGTGACTGTTTTTATGTTCACCAAGGATGGGTGCATGGAAAAGCCAAGAGCTGTGGGCAGTGTGCCAAAGTCCTAAATACAGGGGGTTTTGTTGTTTTGTTTTGAGACTGAGTCACTCGTTGCCCAGGCTGGAGTGCAATAGCACGATCTCGGCTCACTGCAACCTCCGCCTCCCGGGTTCAAGCGATTCTCCTGCCTCAGCCTCCCTAGTAGCTGGGATTACAGGCATGTGCCATCATGCCCGGCTAATTGTGTTTGTATTTTTAGTAGAGATGGGGTTTCTCCATGTTGGTCAGGCTGGTCTCGAACTCCCAACCTCAGGTGATCCACCTGCCTCGGCCTCCCAAAGTGCTGGGATATAGGTGTGAGCCACCGTGCCCAGCCCTAAATACAAGTTTTTATGTTTGAT